ATTTGTGCTTGGAATCCAAGAAAAACAAGGGTGCGAATTGTAATTTCCCATAGGATATGTATTTCCCAACGACGTGCGAGTTGTCATTTCCCATAGGATTTGTGGGCTTGGAATCCAAGAAAAACACGGGTGCGAATTGTAATTTCCCATAGGATATGTATTTCCAAACGACGTGCGAGTTGTCATTTCCCATAGGATTTGTGGGCTTGGAATCCAAGAAAAACACAGGTGCGAATTGTCATTTCCCATAGGATTTGTGCTTGGAATCCAAGAAAAACAAGGGTGCGAATTGTAATTTCCCATAGGATATGTATTTCCCAACGACGTGCGAGTTGTCATTTCTCATAGGATTTGTGGGCTTGGAATCCAAGAAAAACAAGGGTGCGAATTGTAATTTCCCATAGGATATGTATTTCCAAACAACGTGCGAGTTGTCATTTCCCATAGGATTTGTGGGCTTGGAATCCAAGAAAAACACGGGTGCGAATTGTAATTTCCCATAGGATATGTAATTTGCCCCATACCCATAGATTTGTGCTTGGGGTGCGAATTCCCATAGGAATGTATGTGGTTGTCATTTCCCATAGGAAATCCAAGAAAAACACAGGTGCGAATTGTAATTTCCCATAGGATTTGTGCTTGGAATCCAGAAAAACAAGGGTGCGAATTGTAATTTCCCATAGGATATGTATTTCCCAACGACGTGCGAGTTGTCATTTCCCATAGGATTTGTGGGCTTGGAATCCAAGAAAAACAAGGGTGCGAATTGTAATTTCCCATAGGATATGTATTTCCAAACAACGTGCGAGTTGTCATTTCCCATAGGATTTGTGGGCTTGGAATCCAAGAAAAACACAGGTGCGAATTGTAATTTCCCATAGGATTTGTGCTTGGAATCCAAGAAAAACAAGGGTGCGAATTGTAATTTCCCATAGGATATGTATTTCCCAACGACGTGCGAGTTGTCATTTCCCATAGGATTTGTGGGCTTGGAATCCAAGAAAAACACGGGTGCGAATTGTAATTTCCCATAGGATATGTATTTCCAAACGACGTGCGAGTTGTCATTTCCCATAGGATTTGTGGGCTTGGAATCCAAGAAAAACACAGGTGCGAATTGTAATTTCCCATAGGATTTGTGCTTGGAATCCAAGAAAAACAAGGGTGCGAATTGTAATTTCCCATAGGATATGTATTTCCCAACGACGTGCGAGTTGTCATTTCCCATAGGATTTGTGGGCTTGGAATCCAAGAAAAACAAGGGTGCGAATTGTAATTTCCCATAGGATATGTATTTCCAAACAACGTGCGAGTTGTCATTTCCCATAGGATTTGTGGGCTTGGAATCCAAGAAAAACACAGGTGCGAATTGTAATTTCCCATAGGATTTGTGCTTGGAATCCAAGAAAAACAAGGGTGCGAATTGTAATTTCCCATAGGATATGTATTTCCCAACGACGTGCGAGTTGTCATTTCCCATAGGATTTGTGGGCTTGGAATCCAAGAAAAACAAGGGTGCGAATTGTAATTTCCCATAGGATATGTATTTCCAAACAACGTGCGAGTTGTCATTTCCCATAGGATTTGTGGGCTTGGAATCCAAGAAAAACAAGGGTGCGAATTGTAATTTCCCATAGGATTTGTGCTTGGACTCCAATAAAAACAAGGATGCGAATTGTAATTTCCTATAGGATATGTATTTCCGAACAGGGTGCGAATTATGAATTGTAATTTCCCATAGGATTTGTGCTTGGAGTCCAAGAAAAACAACTGTGCGAATTGTAATTTCCCATAGGATTTGTGCTTGGAATCCAAGAAAAACAAGGGTGCGAATTGTTATTTCCCTTAGGATTTGTGCTTGGAATCCTAGAAAAATATTGCTGCGAATGCTTGGAATCCAAGAAAAACACGGGTGCAATTTCCCATAGGATATGTATTTCCGAACAGGGTGCGAATTGTAATTTCCCATGGGATTTGTGCTTGGAATCCAAGAAAAACACAGGTGCGAATTGTAATTTCCCATAGGATTTGTGCTTGGAATCCAAGAAAAACAAGGGTGCGAATTGTAATTTCCCATAGGATATGTATTTCCCAACGACGTGCGAGTTGTCATTTCCCATAGGATTTGTGGGCTTGGAATCCAAGAAAAACACAGGTGCGAATTGTAATTTCCCATAGGATTTGTGTTTGGAATCCCAGAAAAACAAGGGTGCGAATTGTAATTTCCCATAGGATATGTATTTCCAAACGACATGCGAGTTGTCATTTCCCATAGGATTTGTGGGCTTGGAATCCAAGAAAAACAAGGGTGCGAATTGTCATTCCCATAGGATTTGTGTTTGGAATCCCAGAAAAACAAGGGTGCGAATTGTAATTTCCCATAGGATTTGTGCTTGGAATCAGGATGCGGCACCTGGATGCCAAGCAAGGTGCATGCCGTACATAGGTCTACGTGAATTTCAAACCCTCAACTCAAATCATAGGGCAGTGCAGCACTGGAAGCCACAGGATCCTGAGTAAAGGGTTTTTTCTACTTAGCAAAGGCCTGGGGTTGAGTCGAGACGCCGCCACAGGCTCTGCTGCCGCACTCTCAGCCGCCACCGTCTCCTCAGCACCAGAGTCAAGATGCTGGACTGGGCTTCCAATGTGCTGCCATTGCCATTGCGAAAACAGAACTAACTGCAGGAAAAAACAGCCTGCCTCTGGCCACTGTGCATGGTAAAAGCCTTGCAGGCATGGAGCCTACGGGATTGGCAGACAGTGCCAATCAGATTCCTTTTTTGCCCTCACTCGCAAGCGTGCCGTGCATCCGGGACGGCAATCACAGCCACACCGTGCCGGAGAAGTGAGGCTTCGGCATCAACGATACTTGATGGCTCTATGATGCAGGCACCTTAATGAATAGTACTAACAATAATGATGATGAAAATAATAAAAAGAAGAAGAACAGGTGGCCATTCATTGAACCATGTGCTGAACAGACTTCGTAGTCAGCTTTGCTCCACTGCAATGACAGAAATGCAGACTGCTGATTTCAGACTGCTGATTTCAGACGAAGCTGATTTCAGACTGCTGATTTCAGGCTATCGCAGTGTGAACCCGAAGCCCTGAACATGACTATCGAAGTCGATCGAATGCTGTGATCGCAGTGCTCCGCACGGTTTTCAGCAAAGATACAGAGGCCGGTCTGCACCCGAAAGCCAATAATCCATATCGCCGGTAGCCAAAATTGTCCAATAAGGAAAACCATATCGTCGGTAGCCAAAATTGCCCAGGAGGCGAACCTAGGACAAAAATATCATGCAAGCAGCCGGTTCAATAGAGTTGCCAAGAAGCAGCGTAGCCAAAGGATTTCAAGAGCAGCATGGCCAACGGATATACCCAACCTCGCTAGAGCAAAGCTCTGCTTGTGAATGCACGACAAAGACTCAGGCGGACAAGCAAAGTCGCCAAGGCACGGCATGCAGCTCCGAGCACACATCCATGAACCAATCACTTCCTAAGTACATAGCAGCCAGCCAGTACACCCACAAATGTGGGGATGGATAGCACAAAAAGCGGCAACATGAATAAAGCAGTTTGAAGCAAAATTCGTCTGCTCGTCCATCATTAAATTGTCCATCACATCCGTGAACTTCTTTCTCTCCGCCGGCCTGAGTGCAGGAGTCTAACTCATTCGATGTTTGAAACACATGTGAGCCCAGGATTGCTATAATATCGGCAAGCCACGAAAGAAGTTGCAGCTTCCGCATCTGAATATGCATGTGAACCACAGAAAGAATATCCGTCATGTGCACGGCAAGCCTCTCCACACGAAAGCCTGCAGTGTTTAGCTGCTGGGATTGAAGAAGAAAAACAGATGCAAGCATGCGACAGACAGACAGACACACACACACACAGATGCGTGCATGCACTTTATATGGGTCTAGTCGCTCAGCTCCTCGGGGACGTGAACAAGAAGCTGCTGCACCAAGTCGATGGAAGAAACAAGGCCGTTGAACATGTCTCCCTCTTCTTCGATCGTGAACTTTTCCAAAAGTTTTGGAACCGGAAGATTCTCATGAGGTGCCACGAAAAACTTGCCCACCGGAGGAAACTTAGCAGGCCATGCAAAGCTACCCGAATCATCTACGTTCGAGAAAGCCGGCACTGCCACTGACAAGACCCCAGCCCAAAAAGACAAGAACTCCGCAACCTCCTGCCATACGGTCAGCTCCTGCATGTGCCCAATGCAGTGTGCCAAATCGACCAAGCCCTTCCGAGCAAGGGCTCGCACATCCTCCAGCTCCAGATTGCACATGACGAAAACACTGGCCGCCAAGCCACGGCAGAATCTCTTGGAGACGAGTGCATTGTCTTGGCCCTCCATCGCTAAAACCTTTCTATAAGGCTGATTCTGCAAAGCACTGCGAGTCTGCCTGCATTCTCGATCATGCATTACAGCTTGCCCTTGCAACATGACTTGGAACGGAGCTTGATGCCTGCGGCTGCCGGCACTCTGTGCAGCACAACTCGAAATGCCAGCTCCAGACTAACTGCAAGAAAAACAGCCTGCCTCTGGCCAGTGTGCATGGTAAAAGCCTTGCATGCATGGAGCCTACGGGATTGGCAGACAGTGCCAATCAGATCCCTCTTTTGCCCTCACTCGCAAGCGTGCCGTGCATCCGGGACGGCAATCACAGCCACACCGTGCCGAAGAAGTGAGGCTTCGGCATCAACGATACTTGATGGCTCTATGATGCAGGCACCTTAATGAATAGTACTAACAATAAAGATGATGAAAATAATAAAAAGAAGAAGAACAGGTGGCCATCCATTGAAGCATGTGCTGAGCAAACTTCGTACTAAGCTTTGCTCCACTGCAATGACAGAAATGCAGACTGCTGATTTCAGACTGCTGATTTCAGACTGCTGATTTCAGACGAAGCTGATTTCAGACTGCTGATTTCAGACTGCTGATTTCAGACTGCTGATCTCAGAATGGCAGATTTTCTGTGCAGTCATGTTGTTTTCGCTCTTTTAGAGCCGAGGTAGGTGAGTCTCGTTTGCAGAGGTATCATCCACAAAATCAACCGACCGTCTGGTGACATAGCCCGTTGGGAGCTTTCATGTGTCCAGATCTGATCCAAATAAAGATCGAACCACTTCTCCAACCGCATAGCACTTGTCATGGACTCTTCTGGCCCTGACTCAGCCATCCGGACCACAGCACCCAAAGGCTGTTGCAGAAAAGTCAGTTTGGTCCTGATACTGATGCTATCCGACGGTGCAGAATCATCAAACACATAGGCTGTGAATGACTCGATGCAATATTTTCCCTGCAAAGTCATCCAATCCCATTTTTTATCTTTCGCGCTTTGGCTCAAAACATCGTCACGCAGACCAGAAAAGTCCAAGCACACGAGACCATGTTCTTGGAGGCAGTCTTCATCAATGGGGTGCTCATCCAGGAGTAACTTGAACATACGAAAAGACATCTGAACCACTGTCAAATGCTTTGGATCTTTGCCTGGAACTTCGACAGCCACTTGGTCGATCGCAGCGACAAAACTAGGTCCCTCTGTCGACAACCAAAGCAAGTCCAAAAGCAAAGCCTGTCTCCTCAATTTGCGCAACTTCTCCACGATCTTCCGCTGCACGCTTAAACTCTGCTGAGGATACATTTTGTTCTTCTCAACCATTTCCTTGAGAGAAGCATCAATTTCAAGCAAACTTGCGATCTGCTCCCCAATGCCGTTATATCTTGCTTGCCTTACCGATGGATTCAATCGAATAACAAAACACTGGCATATTTTCACAGTACCCTAAGCCATTAAAACAATAAAGGTTGGCCTCAGGTTACAGTGGTTTGCTGTCAGAATGGAAACAAAACAAAATAACATCTCCGCCGAACTAGGACCAGTCTCCTCACACCGGAGTCTCCACAGAAGGAAGCAGAAAAAAGCGGCCATGGTTCCACAGTGATCATGTCAATCGCCATTTCCAGCGTGGCAACCAAAGCTGGCTCTGCAAATAAACTTGGCCTCTCACCATCATTTTCTTTCCGCACATCACTTCCTGGCCTGCCTTTATTAAACTCTTGTCTCTGGTGTGCTGCTGCCTTGGCATCCCAAGGTAACTTGGCACTCGACCCCGCAGATCCCTCATGCGTCCTTGCCTTTCCAGGTGGTTTCAGCATCTCAGGTCCGACTAGTTCAACTTTTTTCCCACGACATGGACAGTCCTCGTTATGGCGTCTTATCCACCTCACCGTCACATTCCACCTGTGAGTCTCGTTCAAATTGAGACTCTCCAGTCTCTCAATTTCATCCCTCATCTGTTGTTTCGCCTGCCCAACAAACAGGAGTCTGAGAGTCTCTTGCTGCCCACCGCGTTTCAATTGAAACTCAGCATTTTGTTCCGCATGGGCAATCTCCTTCATGTCCAACCAAGCAGGCACTGCATGCTCGAACTGCGATTGAAACTTCCCAGCCATGATCAGCATGGAGCCAGGCGGCTGGTAAACAACCAAACACCACCTCGGCTTGTTGCCTCGTTTTTTAGCCTGCTTCGCTTGGATCAAAAGAAATGATCCCAGGACCATTGAAAGCGATGTGATCGGATCAATCTCATCATAATATTTGGACGCATCGGTGTGCATTGAAATGGCATGGTCGGTGGCATAAGAGTACCGGTTCATGAAGATGTTGAAACCTGGAAACAAAGAGACATTACAACCAACTAAACAGACAAAGAAAAAAACGACGTGAGACTGCTGATTTCAGACAAAGCTGATTTCAGACTGCTCATCTCAGACTGCCAATCTCAGAATAACCAATCTCAGAAGAACCTCATCTCAGAGTAAACAAAAGCATAAGAAAAAAAGATCACCTCGAATTCTCAGAGGCTAGACACTCTTGTTTTCCTTGTACCAGGACTCCTTCTTGAGCAACTTATCCACGACCCATCTCTGCATTGCCAATCCTTGCATGGTCGCTTCGCAAGGACGCACACTGCTGTCCTGGGTTTCCTTCCATTTTTCACCTCCAAACTTGACGGCACAATTGCAACCACGACCATTGACAGTGGTAGAGAGATAGTAATTTCCTGCCTTTTGTTTTCCACTAATCTCGACTGCCTTTGTCGGATTGCTTTTATTGACTTCACTCTCCTTCGCGATCTTCATATCATGGATATTTTGACAAAGCGATGGCAGCATTTCCAAACTCTGACAATCCCGAATCTGCCAGAGAGATGACTGCAAGCCACCGTTGCTTGTGTCCCCATCCATTTCATAATCCTTCAAGGCCCGCTGAAAAAGTTTCTGCAAAACATCGTTCAATGTGTCGTCCACATAGGCTGGACCGTGCGCTGCGGCCAGCATCTCGCAAAACCTCTCCGCATCGTCGCGGGAGAACGCACAGGCTGGCCACTTAGGAGTGGCAGGCATCATGGCTATGCTGATTTCAGACTGCTGATTTCAGACGAAGCTGATTTCAGACTGCTGATTTCAGACTAAGCTGACGAGAAAGAAAAGGTTGCTCTCTGACAAGTTGAGTTCCCATAATGCTGATTTCAGACTTGAAAGTCAACAAGCTGACCTGCAACAAAAGGTTGATCTCTGACAAGTTCATTTCCCATAACGCGGATTTG